TAGAGGTGTGATCATTACTCTCTATCTCCAAAAATTTATGGTACTAACTACTATTGTGGTATGAATACTCATTTCATTTAATGCCTGCCAAGTAATTATCGTATTAAAAATGACGTGGGTCTACCAATATTCAAAAGTTATTTATAAAAGCAACGTTATAGTATGAACAAAGTAGTATACAGTAGTTTTTCAAAACACTCCACCGTGTTGTATGATTTTGTTGGTTAATTTGGGAGGTGTTTAAGGTTGGGGAGGAGAATTTATAGTTCAAAAGTATATGTAGATGTCTCATTGTGATCTATGGATTTGGACATATTAACCTTATTTTGAAGCTGGTAAAAGTCTTTGAGTGTTTGAATTTCAGATCCTTTCTGCTCTCTATAAACATGGATGAATTCATATTTGTTTTTAAAATTCTGATTTTGTAGAAATTCTGATAACAACATTTTTATATTTGTAGTATTTTTAGATTTTGGATTTGATACTTGAACTCATTTTTTTTTAATTAAATAATAAAAATATAGATGTTAGGACATCTGAACAATTCTATTTTTATTGTATCTATTATTTCTATATTTATTTTTAAATTATCGACCACAGGCATCAAAAAATAACACCTTTTAATTTGCATGGAAAGAAAAAACATGTTGAATTGGATTTTTGATGAGGTGGCAATCAAACAAAACCAAAAAAATAAAGGCCATTAAAGAGCAGAAGAATAAATATTGGGAGAAAGTGGTTATTCAGTTAATTTATATATTGTATGGGGATGTGTTTTAAAGGTTTTTATAGGATATTGTAATTTTTTTTAGAAGAAATTACAGGATATTGCAATTGGTCCTTTATATTTATTATATTATATTGTCTTGTCACATCACATCAGTCTGCTGTCTGGTATAGCATTCAATTTTATTTGCACGCATATATTCCATACGATTCGAAAAGGAGTTTAAAAAAATAGTAAAATAAAAAAATATATGTTTTTATGTTTCAAATTAAAAAATTTAAGGTCCGGTTTTATTTTATTTTGAAATTTAAAAATTTGCTACTTAATAAATTTATTACCAAATAAATAATGAGCAATAAATTTAAAATATAAAAACAAAAACATTCTCAAATTAGTAGTGAATAAAGAAATTAAAAGCAAATAATTTTAATTTTTGAAATAACTGAAATAAAGAAAATATTACTCACCCGATTATGAAAAAGATTGGATGAATGATGAAGCACTAAGTAAGACAAATATTGGATGAATAATGCAGGTCTCTTAACCATCTTTCAATATTTAGAAAAAATATCACTTACCCAATTATGAAAAAGATTCCACTAATCAATCAATTTTAAAGGTAGCAAAATCATCAAAAGGGTATAAAACGACCGTCATCACCAAAAAGTATAAACTCTCATGTTTAGGAGATAGGTATCTAAGTTAGTTGATCAACTATATTATTCAAATTGACTGTACAAAGTAGCGAGACATTAGAAGGGTACAGAATTACATAAAAAATATATATATATAATATACTTTGTTTTTTCTTTTTAATATATATAACAAATACTCTATCATTTTCACCTCTTCTAGAACTTCACATACCCATCACCACCCAACCCCTCCTTATCCTCTCCTGCCCCATTATTTCTTATATATAATTATGGCCGTTGAATGAAATAGGAGTTCAAATTAACTCAAATCACTCCCTCCTTAGTTATAGGACAATCGAATCAGAAATACTCATTCTATAAAGTTATGGATAATATTCTCATTCACTATTTGCTACACTATTATCATATTAAAAATAACGTGAGATCTATCCATATTAATCAATTATTAATAAATATAAAACTATAGTGTAAACATACGAGAGTTGAATTAAGATTAGTTTTGTTTGAAGAAAAATTATTGACTACTTATGATTATGTGGTGTTCACATAAACACTTGTCATTCTATGTAATATTTTTAGCCAACAAATCAAAACCATTCATTATTTTTTCTTCGTCTATTTTTGTGCTATGTATCTATTTCCATTTATTTATTATTATTTATAATTTTTTTTTTAAAAGATATCTATTTCCATTTATTATTAAATGCTGTGATGTAGCAGCGAGTAGCTTGCTGCCCAACTACTACTTAACCATCCTATTTATTTTTAATTATAACTATCTATTTATCATTATCCTTACTTCTTTTTTAATTTTAAGAGAAATAAAATGACAGCCAATTAAAGGACTGAGATACGAGATCTTACAAAATAATTATTAGCTTTTCAAAACCAATTTGGAGATTTATTACACAACTTGAAATTGTCATTATCATCTAAAATGTGCCCGTTGGATAACAGCTCATTTCTCTTTTCTTTTATATTTTTTTTATTTAAATACAATTTTCATCCATGTTTAGTTTATTTTGATTTTTTACTATTGAGGTGTTTATTCAGGTATTAATGCTTACAAATTTTGTTCTTTTATTTTATGTAATTCCTTCATTTTTTTATTTAGTATTTATAAAAAGGGATCATTTTGGTCTCATCATTTTTATTTTTATCTAATATTTTTATATTATAACTGTAGCACCACATTTCACTCACTAAAATTTTTGAAATGCAGTATTAAATGGTTTCCAATGTATATAAAATTTGTGTTAAAATTTTCCAAATAGGGATTAAATCGGTCATTTTTTAAAAGTATAGGGAAAGTTTTTAAAGTGCAAGGACTAAAATAAACAAAGGTTTAATATATAAACTAAAATTAACGTTTTGAAAGTACATCAAACAGAAAGTGAAGTGACAAAAATATATATATATATATTTCCTTTCGAAGGAAAAACTAATTTGTTGGATGATGCTAAAGTGGTCGTAGCTCTGCGATAATTGACGAAGTTGTGAGTTCGATCCCCACCCCACATGTTTAAAAGAAAAAAAAACATTGTTGGATGACCATTTTTTATAACAAAATTTATGAGTTATTTGGATTTAAAAAAAAAAAGATAATATATTCGAATGGCTGTTTTAGAAACTTATTTACATAAATGTCTAAATTTCTATAAATTTACACTTTTAGATTTTGGATTTTAATTTAATTCTGAATTTACCCCTATTGATTGCATTTTCATTTATTAATAGATTTGGATTTTTTGAAATATAAAATTATTATTTCCATAAATTAATATCACAATCATTTAATAAACGTGGACCCCATAGATATTATCTCAATTCAAATTCCTTAATTCTCTCCTCCAAATCCCCAAAAAAGATTTTTTTCATCTCTCCTCCATTGTTTCCGATTTTCTTCTTCGTTCACTGCCCAACACAACATCATTGTCGTCTGCTACTTTCCCTAAAACATGTAAAATAGTAAAGGCTCATTACAGGGCAAATAATCCAAGCTGAAAGCCAATATGAAGTTCTAAAAGATATGATATAAAGTATAGCATATTGAGTATATAAGATATTTGATATAACATAAACTAAACCTTATGCGATATAAAATTTATCCATATGTATTGATGTAAATCATTAACGGTATATATTCAATATATTTTTAACTTTAAATCATCATCTGTATATATCGAGATACATAAATCTTGAGATATAATATATATCTTTATCTAAACACTATATATCACCATACATACGTTACTCATAACAAACAAATAAATAAAAATATACTCGTATATACTAATGTAATACCGAAAGTCCTCTGTAAACTAGAGATATATTATATATCCTAGTAGATTTTCCATGGAAATTGTTTCACCGGTATATATGGAGATACTTTTATGTAGATATATATTATATATCATAATCATTATCACTATATTATATAAACTCAAATATAGACTGTTATAAAGGATAGTAGCCGATAGCATGAGATAACAGGAATCAGAGAGCAACAGATTCTGTCAAAAAATGAAACCTAATTTTAGAATATACAATAAGAACTATATACCTAGATTCTGTGCAAAAATGAAACCTAAATATAGCATAAAATACGACATAAGTGGACATGACGGACTGGATTGCTCATGCGATGGAGGAAGAAGATGAAATTAGAACTTACAGTGTAATGGGTCGACGTAGCCGCCGGAGACGAAGGAAGCGTGACGATGTTGCCCTCTGAAATGCGACGGAGGCCACCAGAGATATTTTCTGCAAAGAACAGAGAAGCACCCGTCGGAGAAATCTCTTCAGAAACGCGACGAGAAGCTTGAAGATGGAGAAACCTTTTTGTCGCAGCGGTGAAGAAGGAGAAACCAATGGAGATGAAGAGGTTACGAAATTGTGGGTTTCTAAAAATCTCAATTTTTGACATTTGAATTTGCTTACTTTTAGGGATTTCATATATCTTAATAAATATTTACCAATTTCATATTTTATTTTGAGAGGGATATATTAGTAATTTCTATTATGGGTACCATCTATTTTGGAATTATGTTAGACAAAAGCTTTCAATCTTTTTATGTAATTAGGTATCTTAAATAGACCCTCTATGCTAAAAAAGGAACTTTTTGCCGGGGCATTATAAACTGGGCTTTTTATGGGTTTTCCTGGCCCAGTTACATTTGGGCCTTTCCTGGCTTGGACCCATGGTGCATAGGTCATGTTAGGATGAACTCTTGATAAACCAGAGAATATATATGTTTCTACTTTTTTTTTAATTAAACATTTCTTAATATTTTTACCAGGTCCATAACAGATAGTTCAAACCTCCCTAATCTTAATTTATGATTTCCTATTTGAGGTCAACCAATTAGTCATTGATGGAAGATTAAGTATATTGATAATATAATAATTATAAGTGATAAAAATGAGTTTTTTTAATAAAGAAAAAAAATATTTTTTAGTATCTGAGAAAAGAATAGTAGTTATTCTGTAGTTTATAATAGATTAAATAAAATATTAGGGAGGCACATCGCCAATTAATTACGGTCATTAACTTTTTATATTTTTTTAAGTACTAGTTGTCTTTTAGTTAAAATAAGATAACTCTACGGTTTCAGTATAGTTTTAATTTAGTATTTCAAATTTGGTTCGGTAATTTAGTCAATCCCTAAAAGTTCATGATTGAGTATGAAATAAAATTAATATGAATTTTTTTTAGTGTAGGTAAAAGATTGTTTAGATGAGATTTATTAGGTTTAATTGACACATATTGGAACTTCTAAAATAATTATAAAAAAGAGAGATAAAAAGTAAACCTCTAAAATCATATTGACCCATTTGAAATGAAGCCTAAATTATAAATATTTTTATAGACACAAGACAATTTAGGAACCATTTATGGTATCAATAAATATATATATTTTTGAAGCAGAGTACAATTAAATTGAAACTCAAAATTACATGGATCAAAGTTGAAATTATATAATTTTAAAATTGTAGAGATTAAATTCAAATTATATTCAAATCATATAGATCAGACACGTGGCTTCTTCTTTCTTTTTCTTTTTAATATAGTAATGTTGTTTGATTAGGATTTGTTTTGTATTTCTATTACTTTGTGCACGGACCTAATTGAGAACCCACTTTTGTCACACTTTATTTTAATTTTTTAAAGGTGGGACCCATAGGTTCGAACCACTCCAATTTGATTAAATATTAACATTGACAAAATAGGACACAAAAGAAATTGAAAAATTAAAGTAATCATGAAGATCATAATTGCTTTCCAAGTAAGCAATTTCATTTTTCTCTTGTTTCTCTTTTTATTTTTTTATTTTTATAATGTATAGTTGGATTTGGTGATGCTCTTAAAAGGTGGATATTAAAAATTTTGTAACTTTATAAATAAAATGGTGTGTTGTTTATATAATTGTCACCGTAACAAGTCTGAATTTTAAAATCTACAATATTTTAATTATATTTTACCTCAAACAATTTTTAAATATCTATCTAAAATTAATAAAGCTTTGACAAATTACTCATTAATGAAAGTTTACGCTTTTTCTATTTCAATATTTAGGCCACTAATGGTTTAAAAATTTTAATTAGGCTCTCCCAGAAAATGGTTTACAAAGAGTTGATACATCATTACATTATTATTTATTAACATATTTATATTAAAAAATTGCTAATTTAATGTTACTTAAGACATGGAGTTTAATTCACTTTTATTTTATTTTGTTTTTCTTATAATGAAAGTAACATGTTAAAAAATATCCATAATTTTTGATTTCATTATAGTTTAATAATCAAAAAGTTGTATTTTAAATCAAAGAGGTCATATAAGAATTTTATTCCGCTGGTACTATAAGTTTACATTAAAATTACAATAACCTTAAAAAAATTAACTTAATAAAGGGTTAAATCTTCGCTCCACCCATTAAAAAAATAAAAAGAAAAAAAAACGATAATATCAGCGAGTACTACAAATTATATTCAAATACAAACAAATTATCAATTTTGTACACACCTGTTACATCAGTAGATTCTTTTTTTTTTTTTTCTCCTTTCCTTCCTTATATATATAAAATGTTATATTGACTTTTTTAATGAATTATTTTTAAACCTAATTTCATCAATTCCAAAGCTTTTCAAACGGAATCCGAGACACAAATATCAGACAAAAAATTGAATTCACAGTTCAGATGGGCAAATATTGTAAATACCTACTTTTCTGGGGGCCCGGTTCATGTTTATACCTTCCCTCTCCCGCTCACCAAGTCCCTCCCCTCTTCCCTCCTAGCTTTTACCTTCTTCCTCTGCAAAACCCTAATTTAGCTGTGCGGAAACACAGGCGGGCAATTCAAATTACTGGTCAAGGTGGATAGGGGAACCCAGGAAGTTTTTTACTTGTTGTCGTCTTGAGGTTTCCCGGCGCTTTTGACCGTTAATTTTTAGCCAGCACTTGACTTCTGGTCTGCTTCAACAGTAAGTACCAATTGCGTCTGTTTTTCTGGGATTTTAAGTTTTACTGGTGTATTTTTTGAATTCGGAGTAGTTTTCAATGCTCGAGATGGACAGAAGTGATGGTAAGAGTTAAATGGTCACTTCAGTTGCGGTCTTTTTAGTTCTCGAGCTCTTGCTCAGTTGCCAATGAAGTCTTTGGGAGAAGGGAGTTTTGAAAATTTGGCCGATTTTACTCTTACAATCATTCAATTGAGAAGTTTTTATTTTTCCTCCCGAGGTTTGACGTCATAGAAGAGTAGGTTTTAGCTTCATGTTCATTTATCTTCTTAGTGATCAAGTTGACTCTTCTAAGATATGGTTCACGCCTTTCCCATTCGACCATATCCGATAAATATCTTTTAACTTAATAAACACGAGTTTTATTGTTTTCCTTGTAGGATGCCATTGTGAGTCCGAGAAGATATGGATGCAAATGCGACTCCGGAGGAGAATGGTAACATGCAACTAAGCGCCAGTGATAAACAATTAGAGGATCTGGGTGATGACATCCAAATCCTCGAGGATTTGGACTCTTATTTAGAAGACATTGATGACCGGTTGACCATTTCAAGGATGGTAAGTGACGCTGTCATCAAGGGTATGGTAAATGCAATTTCTGAGGAAGCGAATGAGAAAATCACTCGGAAAGAATCCGAGGTGTCTGAATTGAGGGAAATCCTAAAGTGCTACCACTTGGGTTCTGAAAAGAATAAGTCTTTGGTGTCTCCATTGAGGTCGAATAAGTCAAAAAGTACTAAATGTGATAGAAATGAAGGCATCTCTGGTGCTCTTTTTGAGCATGATGAAATGAGAGATTCAGTGTGCAACCTAAAGAACGCAGCCAAGGAGAACTTCAAGAAACTAAGGAAAGAAATTGATAAAATAAGAGGATGCAGTTCAATCAGAAAGATTAATTCAGGCTCTGAGTTGGTGGGATTGAGTGGTATACTACAAGAAAAAGCATCTTCGAGATGTGTTGATGTGGATAAAATAGTTGATGATCTTCAAGATAATTTAGACACTTTCTATAATCAGGTGGAAGATATAGTTCAAGTATCGAAAGCATCTCTTGGTCAGTGGCAAGATGAGAAGGAGTTCCTAGCGGATATTGAAGGCATGGTGATTAGAAATTATATCTGGAGTGTTCAACAAGAGTTAGAGGAGAAACTGTGGGACCAAAATGCTAAAATTTTCAGTAATGAAAGAAAGATCTGGGTCCAAAAGATTAAGGAAATTTCAAGTTTACGTCAAGAATTAGATATCATTTCAAAATCACTATCTCCTGAAGTTGGACATTTGTTTTCCTATAGTTCCATGGATTCTGATCATTCTCATCGCAAGTTATTAAGTAACCATATGGCTCCATCAACAGGAAATGGCAAACATGAAATGTCCAAGACGAATCTTCCTGAAAATGTGGATCCTGCTCGTCTAAAGCATTTGAATAGAGATGAATTAATTAATCATTTTAATACTGAGATGACAAAGATGAGTAGAAATCATGAGTCCTTAGTACACGAAATTACTGAAGAAAATTTCACTCTCAAGAGAGAACTTCTGAAAGAAAAGGAAAAGTCGTCATTGAAGAAGGATAAAGAGTTTGACATACTAAGGAAAAAAATCCCTGACATTATTTTAAAATTAGATGACATTCTTATGGAAAATGAGAAACTAAGTGTATCTGCTGCTAATGATGAGAACCTAGGAACAATGAGGAATAGACTGGAGTCGCTTATTGCAGAAAATCGCCACCTTAAAGACTCACTTGAAGAAAAGAAAAAGGAGGTTAAGTGTTTGTCTTTGCAAATTTCAAGCTCTTCTGAGAAAATGTCTCAACAGTCTCTTCGGCATGGTAAATCATTAAATACGATTGAAAAAATTAAATGTGAGATGCAGGATGCGAAATTTGAAGCCTCAATTGGCGAGGATATAGTCAAATGTTTTCTAAGGGAGACAATGGACACAATTAGATGCGTCAATGAGGAGTCAGCTCTGAGATATGATATCATGCAAGGAATTTATGAAACCATCTTCCAAGGAGCTTCTTTCAGAGGTGAGCTTGCTAGCACATCTGAAGATGAACATTTAGATGAAGAATCTATCATTATGCAAGGTATTTTGGGAGTTGTTTTACAAGAATCCTGGAAAGAAGCTGAGGAAAAAATGACTAGCTTGAACAACAGATACATTGAGGAGATGAGAATTCGACAGTCCCTTGAAAAGGAGGTGTTACATTGTGGGGAGGCATTAAGAGTAGAGATTTTCGAAAAACAAAAGTTACAAGCAGAATTGGTATTATTGGGAGCGTCATTAAAGGAAAAAGAACAGCTAGTGCAAGAAATAACTTCTGCATTAGAGAAAGAGAAAGGGAAGCTGGCTTTAGCTTATGAAGAGGTTGGCTCTTTGAAGGATCAGACCAACAGACAGGAAACACTGATTTTGAAGGGCCATGAAGAGTCCAATATTACCCAATTGAAGTTGGCAGATGCATTACGGAAAGTTGAATTCCTTGAGGTGGAAACTTGTAAGTCAAAACAGAACCTTGAACAAGCAATGATGGAATTAAGCAAGGTTGACGAAGAGAGGAGGATGCTTGTTGCTAGGTTGTTAGAGAGTCAGAAGACAGAGTTATTGGTTGAGGAGAAAGAAAAGGAATCTAGGAAGCAGATGGAATCAGTAATTATTCTGGTCCAGGAATTATTGAAAGAAGTTTTTGATTTTGAACATACAGCAATTGACTATATTTCAAGGAATAATAAAAGGTATGTGCTAAAATTTTCGATCTGTTCTGATATTGTTATTGCAACCTGGATTATTGGTAAATCTTCGAGCTTTTTTATGCCATTAATTGTTCATCACCTGCATGGGTATGCTTGATTATTATGCTTTAAGTGGGAAGGTTAGATAACTTATTTTGATTTACCTTAGTTATCCCTGCTTTGGGGGGGGGGGGGGGGGGTTTGTTGGTTAACTATAACCTTCTAACCAGATTCTATGAGGAAAGATTGGATACTGAGGTGGAGTTACAGCTCATCATGCCCTCAAGGCTATTATGAAAGACACCACCTCACTTTACTTCAAATTTTTTTTAGAAGCACTCAACTATAAGAGTTGTGATTAGTGAGATCCTTGCTTTCTCATTTTGTCTCTTTTGGCTCTTGACACATTATTTTTTTTTAACAAGAAACGAACTTTTCATTGATAAATGAAAAGGAACAAAATTTATTCAAAGATTCAAATCCCCAAAGGGGTGAAATGAAGGGGGATGAAGAAGGAAAAGAATAAAAAATAAAAAGATACAAACAAACCAAACTTAATAAATGAAGCTTAAACATTACACAAAAAAAGCCTCCCAATCAGAACAAATCATGCTAGGAGAATAATTTGCAAAGAAATTGGAGAGAGCACACCATTGTGAGGCTTTGAACTTAGCTATACTGAAGCATTCGAAAGCTGAGTGGTTTTTCCCTTCAAAAGTCCTTTGATTCCGCTCAAACCATAACTCGGATATAAGTGCTTTAAGGCCGTTTTTCCAAAGAAGACTTGCTTTGGGCGAAAAGAAAGGACCAAATAGCAACTGAAAAATTGATGAAGATACTGACTTGTCCTTTACCCAAGCTAAATTGAACATATGAAAGAAAAGATCCCAACAAACTGATGCATAAGGACAAAAGAGAAACAAATGCGCTTGGTCTTCACAAGTGGTTGACACATTATTATTCCTTATTATTGAGATTTACCTTCATGTTTACACATGAATTAACTGATTTTATTAAATCTGGTACAGGATACCCTCACTTTTTCTGGAATGCTTTCTTTTTGATGTTTATTATCTTGAATTGATGCTTTGAGATTAAGTAAGAACCTTAACTAATATTGAATTAATTACAGCCTAATTTACTATTGCTCACAAGTTGCTTACATATGCTAAATCATTTGATCATTGATCACTTCATGTTTTGATCGAACCAAGGAACAAGGCAAGATTGTTTTCACTCCATGTTTTGGTTAAACAAAGGAACTCTTCAAGAAGCTCATACTTGGAAGTTTTTAGATCAACATTTTTCTTTCACAAACACATGGGTGAATGAGCTAAACTCATCCCCGATTGATTTCTTTTCTCCCCCCCAGTTTCTGTGCTTTCCCCCACTACCTTTTTGTTTAATTATCCATTAATTGGATTGCTTGAACCTCTTATTTTGCCACATAAATGCATGAAAATTACCAGTCTTTATTTAGAATTTTCTTAAGTAGCCTTGTATAGTTTTTTATTTATATTTTATGTGCTAGATTGAGTTAAAATTTACGCTCTGAAGCCATTAATATGTGGTTTTGCCTTCAGGTTGGAGAGTTTGAGTTCTCAGACAAATTCACTTATCCAGAATGCTTGTATGCTTAAAAGAGCAGGTTTGATCTACAAGCAGAGGCATGAGAAGAGGTGTTCTGACCTTCAAAAGGCTGAAGCTGAGGTACTAAAGCAGACTTTCCAAGTGAACCAGTTTGTTAGTTCTTAGTTCTATGTGTTGGTATTCCATTTTCACTTATGGAACTTGTATGTGCGGCCAAATGGGACGGAGAGGAGTATCGGGGAAGAAGAGGGAGGGAAGAGAGATAAAAGAGAAGTGAAAATTAAAAGGAAAAAAATGCTGCATAAATTATAATTAATATAAAATTAATAAATTATTATATCATCTAAACCTGCCACCTCACTAAAGCCACGTTAGCAGCATTTCGTCAGTTCTACTAATGGGAGTCAAACTCTAGGGACCTTTTAGAACTATTTTCTAAATGTCGGGGACTAAACTAACATTTTTTGAAACTTAGGGACTAAATAAGAACTTATCATCAAACTCATCAGGGAATAAAAATGTATTTTACCCGAAAAGAAAAAGAATTCAGGTTTGTCAATAAAGTTAGAGTTAGCTTAACAGTTCCTCATCAAGGAACCAACTGCCGAATGATTTGGTTGCTTGAAAGATGACTAGAATAAGCCTCATAAGTAGTAAGTTGTTGTCGTCAGACCCTGCAGTTTGTGGTTCATTTAGATATCATTTTAGTTTACTATCTACATGTGTTGAAGTGAATGAAATAGGTGCAAAGCATAGGGGAGAATACGTCAACTGTATAATTTTTCTCATCTATATATATTTTTTGTTTTGACAATGATATTTGTTACCTCTTGTTATTTTCTCCCTACGTCTGCTACAAGAAAACAGGTATTGATTTGTGATTCTGTTTCAGGTCGATCTACTGGGGGATGAAGTTGATGCCCTTTTAAGACTTCTTGAAAAGATGTACATTGCTCTTGATCATTATTCACCTATATTGCAACATTATCCTGGAGTAAGCAGCTTTTCCTTTAAATTCTTGAATGCGTCAGTGTGAATCCTCATGGATACCTTATGTCAAAAAATAGATAAGAAATATGGTCAGAAATATGGTCATGGATATTGCAATTGGTCCTTTATATTTAACATTAATTGTACGTTATTTGGTTGCATGCGCCTGGAATAAAGACGTTACGTAAGTTACCATAAATATAATGGAGTACATATTTTTTACTTGTTTTTTTGCTGTCATATAATAATATGTGTTGTGTTAGTTGCGCTTTTTAGTCTCTTGTTTGTTTATCCAATAAGGTCTGTGACCAATTATACCCATATATTAAGTATAGTGTAACATCTTGACCTTTATATTCAACCTCGTGTTATTGCGAGACCTCAAATAGGGTGGCCAGATATTGCTTGAAGTTAAATCAGATGAATTTTGTGGATGGTTATATTGCGTGTGCTTGGAGTAAAATACGTTACGGGTTCCTCTGTGATTAATTACATTTTTTTGTCTGTTCACTAACGCCCTTAAATTGCTGATAATTCATACTCGAACCTTTTTCTTATGTAGATCGTTGACATCTTGAAGCTTGTAAAAAGAGAATTGAGTGGAGATACGACAGCAGCATTTTGACATGCTTTGATGAGGTAATGTCTGTAACCAAGTAAGGCACATCCTAATCTATTCAACTGATACTGTACCTTGTACTTCAAATGCAACTTCGAATGGGTGTCATCTGGAAGATGATAAATACAACCGATTCTTGTGCATATTGCAGTATTTTCTGGGAAACAATTATCATACCTTTTCCTCTCGGTTTGAATTTCATTGAACAGGTAACAAGCTGCAAGTTCCCTGCTGCTGCATGTTTTTCAATGACAAGATTTCTGGAAAGGCATTATTTTTAAGGTGTACATTGCCTCCGAAAAGGAAGGAACAACTGTAAGTAGATAGTTAAACAGCTGTGTGGAGGCAGGAAACCCATGTCCTCAAAGCATCAGTTACCGGTCCTAATCTCATCGGACGTCAGCCTGTGAAAATCTTTTGGCAGAAAAGGATCAGCACAACAGCAATATAGATTGGAGAACAGGATTTATAGGTATAAAGTACATCATATTCTTTTAATCTCAGGCTCGTAGGCTCCTTGTTTTCGGTTTAACCTTTAGGGTTCTTTTTGTTAGATGGTTATTGTTTCTCATAGTTTTCTTTTTCCCTCTGTCCTTCGTTGTAAATGTTCTTTCATATCCACTAAATTAAAGAAAGAAAGTCTATTTACACAGCACATTCATGTTCTTATCTCATTACATGGCTGAACAAAACCCTCAACTTCACCTGTCTCATTGACAAAGATGGAGAAAGCCAATCCTAGAACAGAGAATTGTCCACTCGTTTTGTGATCAATCTGGAATCTGAAAGTTGTTAAGATAGAGAGAGTGTCGGTGATTTCATTGTTTGTTAAGCTTCTGGCCTGTAGGTGTTGTTTGTGAAGTCAAAATCATGCTGTGGAGACAATTTTGGGTTTAGGCTTTTAATAACATCGCCTGTTCCTTTCCCCTTTGTGCACTAATCTTAAACACAATAATTGGATTGCTTGTCGCTGCTGTATAGTGTATACATTATTAAAATAATCACAGTTGTTGGCATATCAAATCGAATCTGAATAATGGAGGGAAAAGAGAGAAGTCTCTAGGTTTTTATGAATCCGACAAAACTTGGTTTTCTTGTGTTAAAATTTTGGGGCATCCGTGTATGGAGGAAAGCTTTCATTCTGATGGAGAAGTCTAGCCAAATGGAGGGCCATTCTGCCCACAGCTGTCCCTTTTTGGGCTCCTGATGACCGATATTTTAGTAGGATTTATTTATCAATAGAAATAGACTGACAAATATGTTAGATCATTGATTAATCCGAAATTTTAAGTTGATGGATTAGGGTAAGTTTAATTTCTTTTCATCAAATTTTTATTACTCGTGTTCCTAAAAATTGGTACAAAGTCTAAGAAATGGTTATCAAGATTTATTGAAGAGGAAATGATATTGTAGGAGTTTGAACACAGAAGTGGAGATCATGCTCTCTTGAATGAACTTACAAATTATGTAATTCCTCATCGTGATTTCTAGTATAGGCAATTGGTACGACAACTTATAAATTTTGGATCTTGGCGAGAATTTGTTAGAGAGAGAGAGAGAGGGGTGAACTTGATTTGGAGATATCGAACGTTGTTATGGAAACAAACAAGAGTTGTGCTCAAGTCGAGGCAGCCTCTTTTGGTTTGGAAATCTAATTATTAAAACAAACATGGAAATAAAGTAACTGGAGCCATGTGTATGGATTGGATTGTGTCCAGCTAGAATATATAAATATCTGTGTTTGACTAGTAAAAATATCCTATTTTCATGATTGGCTTTCTTTTTACATGTATGCTTAAACCCATTATTGTACTTAAAAATCTGGTGTTTCTTCCCAAAAGAATATAATTTATGACAAAAACCCATTTGCATAATTTTATCTTCAGCCTACTTTTCTGGTTAAGAACAACATCTATATTCATATTTAGCCTACAATTGAGCTCAAAGTCTTAATAAAAAAAAGGGAAGCTTGAATATCTTCTTCAAAATGAATGGCAAGTGACAAGAAAGTGGGAGACAATTGTAAGATATAAAATTGGAGCAAAACGAAGAGTGGGTTTTGAAGGTTAAGTGAATGGAGGACTATTTGGGGGTACCATGTGGTACGGAATTGCAGAAGACAAGCGAAAGCTTTATTTTTTAGTATAGAAGATATACAAAGTGTGAAAGAATGGTAGTTTTTTGAGGAAATGGCGCAAGAATAATTGCTTTGCTTATCTTCCTCCAGACATAGGCATGTGACCCACCTCGCAAATAATGGAGCCCCATCTCTGGCACCCCAAAACCTGACTCTTCCATACACAGATAAGTCACACTGCCATAAAACAGAGCTGTGAATGTGAGAACTTAGAAGAGTAGAGTGAAAATTTTGTATTGCAATTTGCAATTACATTACACATTACACTCCGGGGAATTTGTATTACGTGCGTTTCAATGGCGTCAGTTTTTTGGGCTCTTTGGTGAAGAAGATATGGAGACAAAGCCATTTCATATCAGCCCTTCTCTTATCTGTTTCCAACAGCGACAACCCATCTTCTGATTTCTTCCTTTTTTCGAGAGATAACCCATTGAAATTCTCCTTCCTCTATCTGGGTTTTTTCTTTTTTCTCTTTGTTCCTCCCAGTTCTTGTTCAGATCTGCCAGTTAGCTGAGGCTGTTGGTAAGAGATGAAGGGTTGATTCCAATTTCCAAGAGACATTTGGAGTTGAGTTTCTGTAGCTTCCTCTTTTTGTCTCTGAATGCGTCCATTAGTCTGGTTAAGGTAACTACGAAGTTCTTGTATAAATAAAATTCTAAGAATGTCCTTTCTTCGAGGTCGATGAAGTTTCTTTGGAGTTGCCGCATTCGATTACTGAATGGGTTTGTTCATGAGTGTTGGCTGAAAATATAGTTTGATAGTTTCCTTCTTATTTCTACCAAAAGAGCAAAGAAGACGAGATTTCGTTTGTTGGGGAAGATGGGGAATGTTCGAATCAGGAAATTCTTGATTCCGCTGATATTTCTGATAATCTGTGTGTACCTACAATCCGGAGAAGCCAAATCCAATTCCCTTTTCATTAACTGTGGCTCAAGTTCAGATGTTACTGTTGATGGTCGGAAATGGATCGGCGACCTGGCCTCCGAGGGAAACTTTTCCGTCGGCGATCTTGGTGCTAATATTAACGCCTCCACAGCCAGTCTAGGCGGCGATTCAGTCTTTGAGCCACTGTATAGAACTGCTCGGATTTTTACCAATTCCCTAAACTATACTTTCAAAGGCCTTTGGGGTAATCATTTTGTCCGGCTCCATTTCTGCCCCTTCCCCTTTGAAAACTTCAATGTGAACGGATCATCATTTTCTGTCTCAGCTAACGGTCTTGGACTGGTTTCAGAGTTGAGCGTTCCCAATGAGATTGCATATAAGAATATGGAGTTTCAGCGTTCTGGGGTCAATTCCAGTTCATTCTATTTGATTAAAGAGTTCATTGTTGCTGTCAATTCGGAATCATTCGTTATCGAGTTCTCCCCTTCTGGAGGATCATTTGGGTTCATCAATGCGGTTGAAGTTATCCCCCTGGTGGATGAGCTCTTTGCAGGTTTGATTGATAAGGTGGGTGGAAATGCTGTTGGTTTGAATGTGAGTGAAAGGGGAACTGAAACTATGTACAGATTGAACGTTGGAGGTGAGGAGATCAAACCCACTCAAGATTCAAATCTTTGGAGAAGATGGGAAGTGGATTCGAGTTATATGATCACAGCAAATGCTGGGTCGGAGATACATAACAGTTCTAATATAACATATGCTTCCCTGAATGACTCCATTGTAGCTCCTCTACCTGTGTATGAAACAGCCAGAACGATGTCCGAGACCGAAGTACTCGAGAAAAGGTTCAACATGTCGTGGAAATTCGAAGTTCATCCTGGTTTCGAGTACTTGATCCGATTGCATTTCTGTGAGCTGCTATATGATAAGGCAAGGGAGAGGGTTTTCAAGATATACATAAACAACAGGACTGCAGTGGAAAGTTTTGATGTGTTTGTTCGAGCAGGGGGAATGAACAAAGCACATCACGTGGATTTTCTTGAACCAAAATCATCTAAAATCAACACCCTTTGGATTCAATTAGGCCCTGATACAGCTGCGGGTGCTGCAGGAACTGACGCTCTCTTGAATGGTCTGGAGATCTTTAAGCTGAGTCAGAATGGGAATCTTGCATACATTGACAGGTTTAATGCCTTAGAGGAATCGACGGGAAACTCGAAATCGCAAATTCTTTGGATAGGCATTGGAGCAGGTTTAGCATCTGTTGTTTTTCTTTCTGTTATTACCATTCTCGTCATCTACTTCTGCAGAATTCGGAGAAGGAATTTCACTAAGAAGAACTCTTCAAGGTGGAGAACAGCATCCAGTCATGGGGCAACTATGACCAACACCTATGCCAGAGGGTCCTTAGGCGGAGGCCAAAGTCAGTATGGGACGATGCCGTCTATCAGAGTTGGTAAATGGTTTACATTGGCAGAGATTCTTTCAGCAACTGACAACTTTGATGAAGCTCTGCTGATTGGAGTTGGAGGTTTTGGTAAGGTCTACAGAGGGGAGATTGATGATGGTACTCTTGTGGCAATCAAGAGAGCCAACCCGCAGTCTCAGCAAGGACTTGCTGAGTTCGAGACCGAAATCGAAATGCTTTCTAAACTCAGGCATAGACATCTGGTCTCCATGATCGGCTTTTGTGACGAGCAGAAGGAAATGATCTTGGTTTACGAGTACATGGCGAATGGCACGCTGAGAAGCCATCTCTTTGGGAGTGATCTCCCACCTCTGACTTGGAAGCAGAGGTTGGAAGTGTGCATTGGTGCAGCCAGGGGACTCCACTACCTTCACACAGGAGCTGAGAGAGGAATCATCCACAGAGATGTGAAGACAACCAACATACTCTTGGATGAGAAATTTGTTGCCAAAATGTCTGATTTTGGTCTTTCAAAAACAGGTCCTTCATTGGATCATACTCATGTTAGTACTGCAGTTAAGGGCAGCTTCGGCTATCTCGACCCGGAGTATTTCAGGCGCCAACAGCTGAGTGAAAAATCAGATGTCTATTCCTTTGGTGTGGTATTGTTAGAAGTTGTTTGTGCACGAGCTGTTATAAACCCAAGTTTACCAAAGGATCAGATAAATCTTGCAGAATGGGCAATGAGATGGCAGCGCAAAAAGTTGCTGCACACCATCATCGACCCACATCTCAAAGGCAAATATTGTCCTGAATCTCTGAAAACATTTGGGGAGATGGCAGAAAAATGCCTTGCTGATGAGGGGAAGATTCGTCCAACAATGGGGGAAGTTCTGTGGCACCTAGAATATGCTCTGCAACTCCATGATGCTTGGATCCGCACCAATGATGCAGTAAGTTCTTGCACAGAAGCAGCTCAAGCTGAAGAATAAAGGCGAGAGCTTGACGGGGAAGACGAAAGCTCCAACTTGGAAGCTTCAAACCCCAACTGATCATATATCCTAGTAGATTTGGTTACATAACTAGTAAGGCCAACTGCCTATATTCAATTAAATTTGTTTTTTCTTTTTTTTTTCTTTTCATATTCTTTTGAATAGTTCTTTCCACTATAGCAGTATGAATATTAGATTTTCTTGTTATATTAAGATCTACTGTATTGCTCAAAATGTAATTTATTATACGTGAGTAGGCTTCTCTGCTTCCGATGTGCGTCTTTCTCAAATTGTCATTTCATTTCTTTATAGAAGTCTTTCAGATTCTTCTCAAGTGTCCTCCAAATATCATTTTGTTTATATACTTGGTAAGCTGCTTTGTTTTGTTGAGTACGTTAATAAACATCATCTGGAAAGTGAATTTGAGGAACCTTTTATTTCTGCTTTTATTAAGTAGTTGTTCTCGTGAAAGACACATTTTAAGAAGAAAGTGATCTGTCAAAGATCTTCAGAACATCAATGGCCATTTTGATCAACTCCTCTCAAAGTATAAAGAGAAATGGAGATGTTTAGTGGAAGGTAACAACAATACAGGAAATGTCATCGTTGCTCTTCCGAGATAATGCCTCGTTGATCAACTCCTCTGCAACCTCTTGAGCATCCATAGCCATTTCTCTGATGAAATCGCAAGCCTCCTGGTTTGACATCACCTGCATTTTGAAACCACAGGAAACCAAAGAACCATCTCAGTACCTCTCTAGATTAAAGCCATGAAAGTTACCAATGGTTTACAGTAGAAGAGTGATTAATCGTGGGAGGAGTAGAGTAGTTCTTCAAAACCCCACATGGAAATCTCTTAGCTTTTTACTGCTATCATTAACTATTCAGTGTCAAGAGTCAAAACAGAGCCTCACAGGTGTAAAACCAAAAAGTTCTCCACTTTCTGACTTCTTTATCATTTATTGAGAGCTTTGGTCTAGTGAGTTCAGGACACAAGACAAATGGGCAAGAGTAATGAATCTTCCAGAGGCCATCACTGGCCAAAATGGTGAACTCAGCCCGATTGTCAATGGTCACGATCCTGATATCTGGTTCTGAAGTAATGTGTTCTTTGAGCTTTGCATCTCCAAATGCCCTTGACATTGCTAGCTGACCATCCACCCGTGCCACATTTCCTAGAAAGCAAAATCCCGATCATCAACAATCATTCTACAGAAAACCAACAGAAGCTACAGCGTCTCAAAACAAAGGACCTGGCATTTGTGCAACGAATCCGCCTTGGCTCTCGACAATCTCCTTCTCCCTCTCTAGTTCATGATTGAGTGTAATCGGTTCACCAAGCCATTTCTGCATAGCACCACCCATGAGTTGCCAACGTTTGCAACAATTAGCTTCTGTCCATCAATTAGTATAGCTGTGACTGCTGTTGAGCCTACTCTGCTTCTCACTTTTTTGGCCAAAATCTCAACGTCTGTTGCTTTATATGCCCTCCTGATTGCTCCTTTAGGGCCTTCCCAGAAATCAAACTGTCCAAATTATATATTAAATGGCAATGTTAAAGTTTCTCTCCTGCTGTTGAGCCTCCTCAATCTCTAATGTCCTTTTCCCTTTACCTGGCTTAAGATTTTACCAACCAGATGGCTCTGCAAGTACTCTGCAACATCACGACCAGAGTGGCCGTCGAATATTGCAAAGAGCCCCAGCTTGTGGTCGTGGACATGTCGTTCTTTGGCAACGATATAGTCTTACATTCCATGTTTCATCTTAACTTGTACTAGATGAGATCCATAAGTAACCCGTCGTCCTTTTATCTGCATCGAATCTCCCACATCTTCCAAAACCTGCTTTCGTTCATCCTTATAGTTGAGGACAATTTCGTCATCAATGTTGTTGTTCTTGGTGTTATCTTCTTCCTACAATGTCCTCAATCCGTGCTGTGAAAAAACATTGCATTATTGTAAGAACATAGCATAAGTAAGACAATAACATGCAGAGTAAAAACATTGCATAAAACCAGACAATAATCTGTACAGTGTAAGAACTATTGGGTTTGTAAAAACAAAGTCCTACATTAATTGGGGTGATCTATGGTATATAAGAGAAGACTTGGACAATTATCTCTATTGGTACGAAGTCTTTCAAATAAAACAAAAAGTAAAACCGTGAACAATATCATATGGAGATACCAAATATAGATAAGGCATCAATAGATTTTAGGTTAAACTACAAATTTAGTCATAGGTTTTTGAAGTTTTTAGGACAGTGGTTAGATACCAAACTTATAATTTAAGCTAGACGCTATAAACTATAAATAAAATACAAAATAAGGGAAAGAGATGCAATATCCAAGAAAATTTTAATTTTGAAAATCAACGATATGTGGGTTAGTTTGTTAACCTTTTTCATCTTTGTGACTGAAAAAAAGCATGCATTAACATACCTTCACTTTCCGAAATATAAAAGACAGTATAAATAATTGAAGCATGCAGCACTGGTGTATATGTAATCTTTGCTCATAATATAAAACGGGGTTGGTTCCGGGGTTGTGGTGACGACATGTCGATCATAGGCAGAGTTGGGAGAGGACCAGAAACGATTGGTCATACGTGGCGGCTACATCTTTGCTATGGCCACCGCGTGGCGGTGCAACCAATATCCTTACTACCATTGTTACTTTTTAAAAGAAATTTTTGTTTTTGCAATTTTCTTTTTTATTTGTCAAAATATTTAATGATTTGACAAAGTAAATTAAAATAGTTATTTTGAGAGTTAGGCTAAAAGAAAGAAAGAAAGAAAATATGAAAGTTAAGCTTTTATTCAAATTATTTTATTATATTTTAATAAAGAACATACACAAACAATAACTGGAAGAACAATGAGAATCAATTAAGGGAAGGAGACAACAAGCGTCAAACGATATCATTTCTGCTAAAGTTACAATCTTTAACCTTGTCTAGAACGTGGCTTGAATGTTGCTTATGACAGCAGGATCGGTTTGGAAAGCCTTTGCAAGGATATCAGTGGAGATGTCAGGCTTGGACCCGAAAACAGCATCAGCAATCGTAATAACGCCTGGGTTTTGGCTGCTCAGAGCTGCAATCGCAACCGCACGGCCATGGCCGATGTTCTGTTGGAAGTGAATCAGACCCACAGGGAAAACGAAAACATCGCCCTTGTACAATATCTTGGTGAACAGACGGTTTTCAGTGTTGGAGGTGACGAAGCCCACCAAGAGCGTGCCTTCGATGACGGTCAAGATTTCGGTGGCCCGAGGGTGGGTGTGGGGAGCGTTGATGCCGTGGCGGGCGAAATCGACGCGAGCCAGAGAGATGCCGAGAGTGTTGAGGCCTGGAATTTGGGCCACATTGGCCGCAGTTACTTTCGAGCCCACCGGATTATTGGTGTCGCCGGCCTTGCGCAGCCCGTCGAAGAAGAAGTCATTGGCTTCCACCAGATTTGGATCTTTACAAACAAAGCCATTCACTTTCACTGGATTGTTAGGATCTGCGACACAGAAATCTTGAAGTGGGCTAGGATCAGATGCCAAGGCAACCGAGCAAGTTACAGCGAGGAATGTGAGAAACAGAACTCGAGCAGCCATTGATGAATTGAACTTGTTGTTCGGGTACTTCAATTTGTAGAGAGAACTGAAGTTGATTGTGTGGATGGATTGACAAGAACTACCCAATGAAGCTGTATTTATAGATTATTCAGAAACATTTAAATATAATTGAAGGACGGCTGAGGAAGAACTTCCCTTATAGCTTAAAACTATACGTTTTCATGTTTGAAAGTGTAAAAGAGTGTTGGTGATCCGCCGCCAAGAGATTTCACATTGGTATAAGATTAATGGTTTTAAATTATTGTTTATTAATCAACTTTGGTTGTTGATTTGATGAAGACTGAGTTCAAGACAGAGACTTGGTGTTGCAGTGTTTAAGAATGTAGGAAATTAAGGTCAAACACTTCATCTAAATAATAAAAAATTAAGAAAAAGCAATTTTGACATAGTTTTGTTCAATTAATCTAATTCTTACTTCAAGAGATATAGTTGTATGGTTCAATGACTTTTGGGTGGGGAGTTCAAAATGTTTGTTTTATAAAATTAATTAATCCTAAATATTAACACTTCAACCAAATTATTATATTCATACAAACACAAATTTGACTTGGTTTGTCCAATTTTTTACTTGGAGAGACATTTGTGTATTTCCATGAATTTGGAAGATAATTCAACGATGCTTGTTTGAAAATAATATTTAATATTAATAATAGTATAAATAAGATAATACAAAGGAGCTAGCATTTTTTTCACCAATTTGAGCGCATATTCCACTGGGTTAAACTATTAAATTCTCAATTAAAAGGTGGAATAAAAAAAATATCACAATTTCGTGATAACCACTACACCACAGCAACTTTATTGACAATTTAATATTTAAAAAGTTAAATTTACCACATATATGACTTTTGATCTAACATCATTATTACAAAATAGTATTTTAAAAAGGGAATTTTTACTCCATAACATTATTTAATATGTCTTTTTTAAACTAATTTAATATATATTTTAAAACATATCACAATTTCTTATTTTTGCATAAATACATTTTTAGTTGAAATTTAGGTTAAGATTTTATTTAATACCTAGATTTGAAAATCTCACAATTCAATCTTCGAAGTTTTGAAAATAAGTTTAAATGGTCTCTAAAGTTAAATTACGGTTAGTTTCTACTATATGTAGCATATTTTCTAATTAATTTTTTTATTGATTACATAGAAAAAATTATTAAAATTAATTAAAATATAATTTTTCCCCACCTTCCCTCTCATCCCTCCCCTCTCCCAATTTCTCATACTTCTTTCAATATAATTTTTCCCCACCTTCCCTCTCATCCCTCCCCTCTCCCAATTTCTCATACTTCTTTCATCTCTCTCCTCTTAAGAAAGAAAAAGAACTCCACCCGCCGCCATTGTTATAGAGCTCAACACACACGCACATAAAAAGAAAACAAGGAAAAAAAAAGATATGATAAAACAAGTGACAATTTCGTTACCTATTTCATATTTGATTTTAATTTATAACATTTGAAAAATTTTAAACTTGATGATATATGTAAAAATACATAGTTATCAAATGACAGATTTGGTTACATATTTCATATTTGACTTTAATTTATAACATTTTAAAAATTTTAAACTTGGTGATATATTTAAAAATACACAGTTACATAATTGTTTCTTTAAAATATAAAGCTCCAATTTAAAAAAATGTATTACATATATAGTTGGTAAAGTAGGTTTTACCATAATGAATGATATTGCATGTACTAATTTAATTTAAGATATGAATCCAATTGTCCTATGGACACAAATAATTTAGGAAAACAAATAAAATTTAACTTCAAAACATAAACTAAAACAAGACACCACACACATCATATAAATTTTAGAATCAATTAAAGGATGCAGACTGCAGAGTGGTTAAAAAATATATGAAATTAAAAGAGGTCAAGTCAAACAAATTCATCTAAATAAATAATAAATAATAAATAAGGCAATTTTGACTTAGTTTTGTTCAATTCTCATTCCTACTTCAAGAGATAGTTGTAGAGTTCAATGACTTTGGGGAAGGGAGTTCAAAATGTTTGTTTGTAAAAATTACTTAATTAAATATTAATACACACTTCAACCAAATTATATTAATAGAGAGACAATTTTGACTTGGTTTAATTTGTCCCTTGGTGATATAATTGGTGTATACTTCCATGAATTTAATTTGGACGATTAATTCAACAATGTTTGTTTGATGAATTGATTTATTAATAGTAAAAATAAGACTATGTAAAGGAGATTTTTTTTTTTTGTTTTTGGTGAGCTTTCAAAATTTGATAAAAACTCTCATCTAGAGAAAATTGAATAGATATTGGTTTGTCTTCATTCTTATAATCTCTTATCCTATAATAAAAGTTTAATCCTCTCGCTAAACAATATATATTAAATGTTTGGTAAATATTGTATTACAATAAAGTTGGAGCATGCCAACTCTTCTACCAATACAGGGGAACTCAAAAAATAAAATTTGCAGCATATTTACTAGAGAGAGAGAGAGAGAGAGAGAGAGAGAGAGAGAGAGAGAGAGAACAACTGTATTCAAAAAGTGAAATGCTTCAGAAAAGGAAAATATATAAAATAAATTTGCAGCACTTATTTACTCAAAAATAAAAAAACAAAAGAGAGAAAAAAGAAAACAACTTTATTCAAAAGTGAGCTGCTTCAGAAAAGGAATATATAAAATAAAATGTTGCTGCCCAGGATCGAACTGGAGACCTTTAGTGTGTAAGACTAACGTGATAACCACTACACCACAGCAACTATGTTATTGATGTTTTGCATTTTAGTTTTAAGTGGTAAATCTAACACAGTTAAGATACATAATTACAAACAAGTATTTGAAAAAGAAAATTTTTACTCCATAATATAAGTCTGATAAAAGTTACTATAATTCATATATTTTCTTTTTGGGACTAGGCGGAAATTCGAACTCACAAACTTTTTAATCGGAGATGAATGTATAAATTAGTTGAGGTAAACTATTTTTTTTAACATAGCATAAATTTAATCAAATTTTCAAACATGTATTATATATTGTTGTTGACAAGGTTATCATGATATCTAAATTATATATATGAGAATTTATGTCCAAAATAGACAATATCATATTACTAGAGAGATGTGGAGGTTGATCTCTAATCTCTAATCAAGGATTTGACTAACTAATTAAAAGTGTGTTTGAAGAGTGATTTAAAAAAAAATATATTGAAGTATAATTTATTTTCCAAAATCACCATACTCGGGTGTTTTGGCATATGTTGGCCCGGCTTCTTCCTCTAGTCGATCTTACTACTTGCGTGTGTATAATTCATAAAAAGAACACCGGTAGCTGTTCCAGTATACAAACAAGGTAAGTTGGAGTTTAGGAGGTATTTTAAGCACGGTGAGAAAACAAAATTTTGGTAGGTTATATGGCTTGAACCTAAGAGTTGTAGGATATTCTAGCAAGCGCCCCAATCCACACTCTATCTCTCGAGGACAATAGACATAAATAATTTAAGCTCTTAATTTAGTTCTTAAAAAGATAAATTATTATTGTTAATAACATTTGACATTTTATCGATCATACATATCTTAAATTATATTTAGTTTGAAAAAAATATTGTTTTAATATATTTTCATCGCTTATATTGTATTGTAACTAAATGATCAATTTCGTTGGTACTTAGAAAAATTGATTTTAATTTACTCACCCATTTTTCACGTAACCTTTTGAATAATTGAAATAAAAGATATGTATATAAAGTAATGATATGTTTTGTCCAATTCGTGTCGTCATCTATTATTTTCTAGATCATCAACATAATTTCTTTACAAATTCAATTCTTGTCTCATTATTTAATTATTCAATTTATTTGTATAATTTGGTTTTTGAACTCTTAGTTTATGTTTTTCATCATTAATGTTGTAGTCTCTTAGTTATGTATAAAAATCTATTTCAATATTGTTTTTATTAATTATTTAACAAAAATTTGAATTTATCCTACTTAATGTAAACATATATGCCCATCAAGTATGTTTGGGGGTAAAGATATCAGGGACACGTGGAGGACACTTATTGGTATTTGAAGAATCGAATAAAAATTGTTTAGATCCACCTCGGCCCTGCCGAGGAGACTGAGTTCGCCCATTACCAAAAAGGATAAGTATCAACGCCAAGGTTCGACCTGGTTGTGGTTCGATCTGCTCGGAACCCGACAGGTCCGACATGAGAAAAGACATATAACCACCGGTCGTGTGAACTGTCAGATCCATCACCTATAAATAGAGGGCTTCATTTTACGCTCAGGTATGGAATCTCACCTCGAACTAAATACAGAGTCCGATCTATACTGAGCGTTGGAGTGCTTACCCTCTTGTGCAGGTCCACGCAACTGTTCAGGTCGGAATCAGAGACTGGGTTCGAGCTTGATTCGTGAAGAACCGTTGTGCAAACCCTTGCATAAACAAAGTAAATAATTTAAAAACAAAACATGCATATGTCAAATTTCTGTTAAAATTCAGTATGAATTTAGTATGTATTTTTAAAACTATCATAAATTTTTATTTTATTTTAGATAAATGTATTTTATGTTATATTTAAGGTTGAGTTTGATTTGAGATGATGATAATTATTATTATTATTATATATATATATATATATATATATATATATATATATTTGTAAGATTTTACATTTTCTGCTATATTTGTAAATGAACATATTTATTTTTGAAATTTATATAAATGCTCAAGTTAGAAGTTCAAAAGCAAAATAAGATTTTAACATATAAATTTTTTTTCCTTTGTCTTGGTGTGCTTTTTTCGAATATTATTAATATCGTTTTATTTGAATCTTTTTTGTACACATTGTTGTTTTCAAATCACGGAAAAGAACATTTTTATTTGAGTTTGGAAAATTAATTAATTATTGGCAATATAAATTATACGTCTAATCACACGGATTAATACATGAAATAATCAATCAATATTTTTATTCAACAAAACATCCCCACAAGCAATACAATCGAATGAGAAAAGGAAGAAAAAAACAGTCAAAAGAAAAAACAATGATTATCTAAACGCAAGACCATGACCTAAAATTGACTGACAAGACAACAAATGAAACGATGAAAAGCTGACATTTTTATTGAAACAAAAGCCTAATTTTGCAATTAAGCCCTTAGAAGTTGGCCTGGATCTTGGTGACGGTGGCCTCGTCCACTTGGAAAGCTTTGGCGAGAATGTTGGCCGGAATATCCGGGTTGGATCCGAACACTGCATTGGCTATGGTGATAACGCCGGGGTTCTGGCTGCTGAGAGCGGCCAGAGCCACGGCCGGGCCGTACCCGATATTCTGCTGGAAGTGGATCAGACCAACGGGGAAAACGAACACATCGCCCTTGTAAAGCACCTTGGTGAAGAGACGATTCTCGGTGTTGGAGGTGACGAAGCCGACCAGGAGGGTGCCCTCGAGGACGGTCAAGATCTCGGTGGCGCGTGGGTGCGTGTGGGGTGGGTTGATGCCCCACGGAGCGTAGTCCACACGCGCTAAAGAGATGCCGAGCGTGTTGAGTCCCGGAATCTGCATCACATTCACAGCCGTTACTTTAGACCCATTTGGGTTCGATGTGTTGCCTGCTTTATCGAGCCCTCTTGCGAAGAAATTATCCGCTGTCACAACTTTGGGGTCTTTGCATACAAAACCGTTCACTTTCACTGCAAAATTATTATTCCAAATAATTACTTATATGCATCAAACCCATTTTTCTATTCTTAATTAAGAAATAAAAAAAATTAAACCAATAACCATTTTGTTTTTGATAATTTATACCTTTACAACTATTTTTTGTCTTGCTATTAATTTTTAAATCCCTTTTCAAAATCTAAACCAAATTTTGAAAAACAAAAGTTGTTTATGTTTCTTGTTTATGTATTTTGAAAAGAAAGTGAAAACATACCAAAATGAGAGAATATATATTTAAAATAGAAAACAAAAAAACGAAATAATTATCCAACTAGACCTAAGAATTACCAGTGTTGTTTACATCCGCAACACAGAAATCTTGAAGAGGGCTGGGATCGGATGCTAGGACAAGGGAAGAAGTGGCGACAAAAAGTGCTACAAAAAGAAGTACTTTAGAGGAAGCCATTAGTGAGAACTGAAGTTTCTCTCAAGAATATTGGGAAATGAATTGTGTTTGAGGTGAAGAGTTGGGGAAGGCGTGGAGGTGGTTTTTATAGGTAAAATTAATTAGGAGAAGATTATTAATTTAATGATATTATATGATGATGGTGTTATCCAGTTGGTGCATGGAATCAAGTTTGAAATTTTAAAAGGGCAGCCGGCTAAGCAAATGGAAACCTCCAAATTTAATTATATGAAGGTTTAAATGGTCAGTCGGTTGCCTGGTCAATTCAGTTGTGTGTTGCGTAGTAAACAAAATAATTTGTTATAATATAGTATACAATTTCAATATTAGTTCTTTCATTATTTCAACTCAAATAAATGTTCAACCTAATTTTAACACAAACTTGAATTCTTCAACGTAATTAAGACATATACTTTCATCTACTAATATAATATATAAAATTTTGTTCCTTTGCCTTGGTCGTCAAATTCCTATATATTTTTTTTACCGTAATTACACGATATTAAAACTATCTATTTCTCTTAAATGGGGTGTCTTAATATAGGTTTCTTCTCTTTAGAAAAGATGTACCATTTCATAAGCGAGTATGTGAGAAACATAGAAAAACAAAAAAGGGGTTGATTAGATCAAAGCAATCCAATTAAGAGAAATAATAGCAATATCATAATTACAAAAGAGATTGGATTTGGAAGACGATCATGACAAAGAAAACGCGAAGCGTTCTCTTGGTTTCCCAACCTCTTGCTTCTAAAGGTTGTCATCTCTCGACTAGATGTTGGTCCAGAAGAATCTATGATGATGTCCTCCCAAAGCGAAGTAACTGTCTTAGAGATGTCCCAGAAGATGCGGGTGTTTGCTCCAACCAAATATTCTAAAGAGTAGCTCCTATAATGTTACACCACAAATATTTTTAATATACTCCATATTTTTATATTGACGATTATAATAATTTTTGAACCCTTCGATAATAAATATTGTTAATGAATTTTACTCCATGGAGGTATATTATTGGTACCGTTGATATTTGATACCGTGGCCATGTAACAATTACATTTATTTATAGACAAATGTAGAATCTCATTATTCATCTCCTTTTTCTCTATATATATTTGTCCTATGTGAAGGGAGACAAGAGGAAAAACATGCTAATTAAACAGAATTAGGTTAACCCACCATAATATAATGAAAAAATTAATTAAATCACTTGTTATTTATATTAATGTGAACTTGCTTTACCCAAGAAAACAGAAAAATATATAAGAAAGAAGATTCCATGATGACTAGGATTATTGAGTTTAGCATTTCTTTTGATGAGGGTACATTCCCATTCATAAATTATTTGCAAATGTTTCTTCTTCTCTTTTGGTACATAAGTAATGTGCTTTCAAAGTAGGGCTTTAATTATCAGTAATGAATGAGAATTATTGTTGTAATAATCGTCGAATTTTAAACTTAATTTAATTGAGAGTTTTTCATTCAATCAAGAATTGTTTTTTAGATCTATCTTCAAGTTAGGACTTATATAAGTTTCGAGATTAAAATAAATAAATAATATATCATGTATTCCTTCTCAAAAATAATAATATATAATAATATATCATGCATAAGGTTCTTGTCAAAAATAATAATAATAATAATTATCACATATACTTGAATAATTGTTCAATTAATTTTATGTAAAGTAGTTTTGAATTAAAAATTACAATAGTTCTAAATTTGATAGCAATGGCAAATAATATATACGATTTTGCAGATATCAATCAAATACAAAACAAATAAATACAAAAAATAGAAAAACAAAATAAAAAAAGAAAATTTATTTAATAAATATAATTTATGGTTAGGTGGATATATGATTCCACGACCAAAATAAACGAAACGGATAATATAAGATTTTTCTTTAAATTTGACTTTTATTCTTCGACCAAGCACAAACACCTACTACCAAACAAATTCAACTTTTTTTTTTTTTTAATTTTTAGTATAACATGTGTCATCTGTGTATATAACCATAATATATTGTTCGTCTTGAACATAACTCTCACGAATTTACTTTTGGTTTCACCCAAAAAACTTCATATGAATGAAGATAATTCTCATATCTTATACACATAGATCACTCTCTCCCCTAATCAATATGAGATTTTGTTTGCACTCCTTACAAACTTAACCATTCTTGGTCACAGATGAACCAAGTTTGGTTTGTACATATGCTCGTCCAGTCCAGTCGACTTAATCTAGCAGTTGGTTTGATTCAAGTCGCTTTTTTGGCGTTACTTTCCGGTGAAATTAATAATTTTTCTAATGGAGGAAAACTAAATGATAAGAGACAAATTCAAGCCTTTGATGAATTCTTATGGGATTGCATCTCAACTAATAAGTAATTTTTTTTTAGTTCAATTAGGGATCGAGGTGGATACCATGCCACTTACCACTTAAGCTATGTTTTTACTACATTAATATTGATTAACATAGGGAGGAAATGAAACTTGAGAATACTTCAAATATGCACAAGACACGTTATGGTATGTTTACTACTCTTCTAAATATATTATTAAGGAAAAAGAAAAGTATATTTTAGATTATTTAAGTGATGCATCCAGCCATAAACAGGGAAGGTAAACACAAATGGCAGTAGATAATTGAGTGGATACATATAAATATACATATGCTGGCCGCCATGTCTGAAGTAGTTTTAAATGAATATATCTAATACGTGTTTTGAGGAAGACCAGAGACTCCTTCAAATTCATCAAGCTATAAAAGGGAAGCTTTTTGGATTCTCATTTCACAAATTCTCAACTTCAATTCTCTTCAGCAACTGAGAAATAATTATACTTGTTGTTCTTGCTTCTTCGCCCATGGCATCATCCAAAGTTATAATCCTTCTGGGACTTGTCATTGCAACTTGCGCAGTTGCTGCTTTCGCATCTGATCCTAGCCCTCTCCAAGATTTCTGTGTTGCAGATCCCAACAGTGCAGGTAATTAATTTTTGAACTCCACAAGTTACCTGTTTAATAATATACACAAATGATTAATTTTGGGTTACGATTTTGATTTTGCAGTGAAAGTGAACGGTTTTGTGTGCAAAGATCCCAAAGTTGTGACAGCGGATGATTTCTTCGCCAAAGGGCTTGACAAAGCAGGCAACACATCGAACCCTAATGGTTCTAAAGTAACGGCTGTGAATGTGATGCAAATTCCGGGACTCAACACGCTTGGCATCTCTTTAGCCCGTGTGGACTACGCTCCGTGGGGCATCAACCCACCCCACACGCACCCACGCGCCACCGAGATCTTGACCGTCCTCGAGGGCACCCTTTTGGTCGGCTTCGTCACCTCCAACACCGAGAATCGTCTCTTCACCAAAGTGCTTTACAAGGGCGATGTGTTCGTTTTCCCCGTTGGTCTGATTCACTTCCAACAGAATATCGGGTACGGCCCGGCCGTGGCTCTAGCCGCTCTCAGCAGCCAGAACCCCGGCGTTATTACCATTGCTAATGCTGTGTTTGGATCAAACCCGGACATCTCAACTGATATTCTTGCAAAGGCTTTCCAAACTGATAAAGCCATTATTGCTGGAATTCAAGCCAAGTTCTAGGTGTTGGGTTTGGTTTATAATTTTTATATATTTTGGTTTTGTTTCATGATTGTGTAATCTCTGGTTCCTTGTTTGTATTCCCTTTTGAAACTGTGGTTAATTTGTTTGTTTAATTATGAGCTGTAATTTTAATTGAATACTTTGAATTTGAATAATGAAAGTTCCTCGGTTTAATGCATCAACATTTCACTTTTCCGTTACTAAACTATCACGGCGGGTCAGTAAGGCTTACTTTCCCGACACAAATGTCTCTCATTAACAGATGATATATATAAATTCGAATCTCTAATCCTTATTTTTTTTAGTGCTAATTTTTACTTGTACTTAAAAAAGAAGAAGAAAAAAAAATACTTCTTGACTAAATTAAATATTTTTTAAAATAATTAAACTAAAATATTTGGTTTGTGCCAACAAGAGTTTAACTCAACGGTAATTAATACTTATCTTTCAGTAAAAAGTCATGAGTTTTAATTTTCCTTTTTTTAGTACAAGATATAGGGTAAGTACCACTAAGCTATGCAAGCTTTAGCCACTTTCACTTGTTAGCCCAATCTACTTTTATGTGTTTCATTAATTTGTTTACAATTTATACAAACAATTTACAAAACTAAATAAAACATAAAATTGTTAGCCGACGAAAATTAAGCTCAAATACTTTCCTTCTCTTGGTAATAACAATCTTCCTATTAATTATCACAAAAATCACTAAAAATTTGACTAAGATTTTCTAAAGGTCGATGGTTACCGATCATATAAAAATAAGTATTATTCAACAAATAATTAGAATGTTAATTTTTGAACATAGCTCAAAATCTTACGTTCTCGTAAATCACAAAACAAATAGCTCTAATAAATGATGGCTAGTTTGCAAATAAGGGTTGAATTATGAACATCATCTAAGTATTGTTACAACACAGAACATAATTTATGAATCCAATCTCAGTAGCAGTAGGATATTATTGGGAATTGCCCTGATGATGGCGCGACAACATTGTGGGGGTGGGGTTCGAACTGATGACCTTCTGGTCAGAGATAGGTGCCTTAACCATTTGAGCTATGCTCGGTTTGGCGAATCACCCGTATAGTTATAATTACTAAAATGCATATTCTTTATTTCTAGCTAATTACAGATGCGTTAACTATAATATTATTTTTAATGAGATCAAATAACAATTTTTAATTTATTTTGTTACAATTTTATTAAATCGAGTATAATAAATTCATCAACTAAGAAAGATTAATATAATTTTTATTAGAATAACCTCATTAACATAAAATATTTTAAATTTTATTGTTATAATATTTAAATGAATTCAATTTTAACAATATTTTATATTAATTAATAATAACAAAGTAAAATTAAATTATTGTTAAATTAAAAAATAAATTGTAATAGTTTATAATAAAATCACATCTAAGAAAAGCTAATTAGCATATTAAATATATATAAAAAAGTAAATTTGTAAAACAATTAATAATAAACATTACGAGTCACACTAATATAGAGAAAAAGAGTAAAAGTCGTAGAGTAACTAAGTGATAGGTTTTTTAGAAGGGGCAAAATTGAGGGAATAATTTCTAAGTTTGAGAGACCGAGTGTTCACCAATTGATTTCCTCCTACGAAATAAATGGTGTTTTGATCCCTAAACTTTCAAGATTATTGTATTTATTATGTCCTTGAACTAAAAAAAGGGTTAGGTTCCTAGACTTTGAATTGTATGTATCGAATAGGTTAAGTGTTTAGTAAGTCAACTTTCAATATATAGTGTCTAGCTAAACGGTCTCAAAACTATTGTAAATTTTATGTCTAATAACTCTCATGCCTTTACAAGAATTTTAAAAATTGATAAACTTAATTATTAGACAATTTTGTGTCTGTTAGAATCTTGAACTTTCAATTACGACGTGTCTAATAAGTCGATAAAATGTTTAATATACAAGTTAGAGACTTATTAGACATAACATTGAGAGTTCAGGGCTCATATTAGTTGAAAGTTTAGAAATCTATTCGATATTTTTTAAAGTTTAGAGACCTATTAGATATATCTTGAATGTTTAGAAACTAAACTTCTAATCTAACATATTTTTTGGAACGTGAAAATGGATATATATGAGAATAATATTTAAGTTTTAACTGATGAGCACCTACCTTCCTGTTGACCGGCACTCAAAATTTGACAGCTCCCTTATTTTTTGAAAAAACATAAAATTCGTCTTTATTTATTTATTTATTTTTCCCTATCCATTTTCTCAAAAATTTTACGGTGGTTAGACCGATCAAACAGTTAAGTATTATTCGATATATAATATATTTGTGGCATATATCACTATATGATGTCATAGAATACTTTTCAAGTGCTCAGGAAGATTTTGGTCAAATTACAACTGCGTTGCTAGTGAGTTTTGTGTCTTCTCACATGGCTTTGAGTTATGTTGGTGTGTCGGTGGTATTACATAATTTCTATTTACGCTTTAAAATCTTAGTTCAATTATTTTTTAGAATAGAATATATGTTTCCATATTTTATAAAATGCTACTTGGTTAACTACCAATATAAAGTATCACTTTCGCAAGGTATTTTATAGGTATTAAAAACATTAGACTTTTGAATGTTGGAATTTAATATTATTTTTTTAGTACAACATGTAAGTGCGGGATTCGATTCACAGCCTCTTAATTGGAGATATATATCAATTATCGTTAAACTATGCTCGTTTTGTCATTTGCGTGGAAGAATTAAGTATTATTAAAATAATATTGAAATGTCAATGTCTTCACTAAAAAGTTAGATATTTTTAATATGTATATGAATTTTTTTTATAACGTGGTGTGAAAAAATAAAAAATAATAATTTATTAGTACACAATTCCGAGAGATGGGGTCTTCCCTCAGTTTTATTTGCTTATTGGTTATTAAAAAAAATAAAAAGAAAAGAATAATGCCAAGTATCGTGGGATTTTTTTTTAATAATGTTAATTTTTAAAATATTTACCAAAATATACCTCATCTCAAACTAATTACAAGAATAATGTTTTGAAATTCATAGGTCGTCTCTTCAAGAGACGACCTATGAGTTGGCATAAGTTGGTCGTCTCTTCAAGAGACGACTAACGAACGTGGCGCTTACTCCGCGCCACGTTAATTTTTTTTTAAATTAATCATGGTCGTCTCTTCAAGAGATGACCATGCCTTTTTTTTCTTTTTTTTAAAAATAACCTAACATGTCGTCTCTTGCGGGATTTTTTCAAATCCCGCTTGGTCGTCTCTTTAAGAGACAACCTTGTGCATGGGCGCCAGCTGGCGCCTTGGTCGTCTCTTAAAACGTGGTTTTAAAAACCCTAACCCTCACCCCTATCTCCATATCTCCCAAAATACGATTTTCCACCGCCGCCGCTGTCTCCGCCGATCAGTCCACCGTCTAGCCGCCACAACCTCTTTTGGTAAGTATATTCCACTCTTTTTTGTTGTTTTCTTTTGTTTTCTTTGCAATAATTTAGTTTTAACAAAATATAGGGACCACCACTTCATCAATTTCAATTTGGGACCACAAAATATGGCATCTAAATGTTTGACAATTGTTTTGTATATGAATGGTTGTATGGTGGAAGGTGTAAATGGGATTGAATATAATCGACCGCCATGTGGAGGTTTCACTGTTAATAGTGGTATTGATTTTGGACATTTTGTTGAAATGATTGGATTATCATTGAACATAGATGTGAGCAGCAATGAATTAGACATAGTTTATAGACACCCTACTCTCACACCCTCAGGATCAACTAAGTACATTCCTATTCCTATTTCGAATCACAATGCGTTAGAGTTGATGTTCTCAATTGCAGTGCCCTCCCCAGAGATAGTGGAATTATTTGTGTGTGTTAGAAACATAGTTAATGACACACCTAGTCAATGTCTCAGCGAGTGCCAATGCCTTGACCCTGAAACTGAACAAACTATTCCCCAAAGTGATGATGTAGGAGAGGATATAGACCTACCTGCTGAAAATAATTTTGTTGAATTGAGAA